GGGGTCGCGGTGCTGGGCGGCAGCCGCGCAGGCGCATGTCGGGGCCGGCGTCCTGCGCTGCGACGCGGAGCGTTCTGCCCGCCCCCACCCCTCCCCGTCCTCCGTCCTGGACACCGGAGAAAGGCAGAGGCGAGGAGCGCGTGTCGGCGTGCGTGTCGTGTGCCGCCTGATCACTCACTGCGAGGGTCGCGCCGGGGCTCTGTGGGCGTCCTCTGCGCCGCACGGGCATGGCGAGCGCGGGCGGTGGGACGCGGAACGACGGGGTACGCCCACTCTGCCCGCAGGAGACTGAGTACTCGCACCTGGGATGAGACTGGATGTCGACGAGCTCAGCAAGTCCATGTTGTAGTTCCGATCCCCTTCATAGACAACATCACTGTAGTGTGCCCATCACAAGTAATCCGGTGTCATTCATTACGAGAATAACAAAGGCAGGGAGGCCACCTGGCATTCATCATAGAGGTGACAAGACATGGCCAGTACACATATTACCTTTTATTGTACAGGTATAAGATTGAAAAAAATCACACGCAGAGCCCATTCCCCGCGCGACGACGCAGTGGGTCCCCGTAGACCCTTGTACGTAGTCGACTCTGCCGGACGCTTTTCCCCCCACGTCAGTTGTCAAACATGATCGACGGCAGATCCTTGGCACCCCTCCGCGGCCCCCAGTACCCGCCCGGCCGCGGCCTGCCCTCCGCGTCCGCCGCCGACGCGCCCGCCACCCGCTCGAGGAACCGGAGGACCGCCGCGACGACCGCGTCCTGGCGCTCGTAGAACAGCGCGTGCCCGCCGCCCTCGACCAGGAGCACGTCCATGTCCGCAAAGTGCGCGCGCATCTCCCGCGCCACCGCCTCCGACCGCACCTGCCGGTCCGCGGTGCCCCCCAGCACCAGCAGGGGCAGCCCCCGGCGGCCCGCCTCGAACAGCCCCGCCGGATCCTGCGCGCGCGCGAGGACGAGCGCGCACACGGCGGGCGGCTGGAGGAGCGCCTGCCCGATCCAGGACGCCTTGACGTTGAACTCGACGCGCTCGGGGTGCTCAAAGAGCGTGTCCACAAAGGCCGCCTTTGTGCGGCCGCACAGGGCGACGTCGCGCGTGTCCGTGAGGCAGGGGAGGAACCCGAGCACGGTCGGCGTCGCGATGCGGTCCAGGACGGGCCCCACGTACGGCACGCCGGCGAGGCAGATGACGCCGGACAGCGCGCTGGGCCCGAGATGCTGGCATATGTCGCTGACGACGGAGCCTGGTGGCAAGGACGGTCAGAAGGCCTGCCCCACAGGGACGGTACTCGCTTACAGCCATAGCTCCTGCAAAACGACAAGGGGCGTCAGATCGTGGCCGCCAGTGTGATTGGGGGGACTCGCCATCCGAAAAGCACCGGTTTTTGTGCGCCGAAAGACTGGACTACGGACGCAAAGTCGTCCGCGAACAGGGACGACTGGTACCCCTCCGCGCTATCTGGCTTCCCGCTGCGCCCGTGGCCGCGGAGATCATACCGGACCTGGGTGGGCGCGGTGGTGAGTGCGACTCTGGGCGCGCAGCTGAATGCTACCCACCATGTAAGCGTGACTGAGCAGACGCTGGTCGTAGAACACATTGTCAAACGTCGCCGCAGACAGGTTGAGCCCGTGCACGAGGACCAGAGAGGGGTTGCGGCAGTCGCCGATGGCCTCGGCGTAGATGGGTGTCCCGTCGCTGGATTTCACAGTCTGGACATTGGGACAGTAAAGCATGAGGGCTTCACCAATTCACACGTCGGCTGGATGTTTGTCTCGGGAAGGACGTACGGGTGTCGGGATATTAAGGGCGAGCGAGGCTCAGGGGCAGACCAAGACACTCGGGCTTAGGTTCATGGCCCAGGCCCCTCCGTGCGGTCAGATGTCGAGCCCGGCCCATCGCACATCGTTAGGAGGACAACACGTGCAGTACAGGAGGGGTGGATTTCTCGAGAACGACGCGCGCGAGCATTGGACAGAACGTACCAGTAGGGAAAAAAACCCAGCAGGCGAGAAAGATCAACTGTGGTCGAGGCTTCCAAATTTAATATGGGAACCGCGTTATTTGTGTATCAACATACCTCAGGTCCCAGCGCTCCTGTTACCCAAACCGAAGCCAAGCCCGCAGCCGTCCCACAGCCCGTATCCTCTCCGAGTGCGCGCGCGCAGAGACCGAACATGCGCGGCACATGAGGCTTTGCAGCTTGAAGAGTCTCGCGCTCGTAGTATACTGACTCACGAGCCTCTTCTGTCTAGCGGTTGAAAGTAATAAGCCCAGACGTTTGAGCAGGACGGCAGAACTTGAAGTATGAGTGCGAGATTCGAGATTGACAACAGCAGCCAGGAATAGCCATGGCGAACGATAGATGACAGCGTCCTTCGGACACGAGAACGAGCAGAGAGCGGTCCTCGAGGCTTGCTGGAACAATGGTGCCGGAATTTGCAGGTCGAGTGCATCGCGCGGTGGGTGGCGGGTGGCGTGGAGAAAATATCTGAATTCCCTTGTTAGGCCCTTCCCCAACCACCGATGTCGACGCGAGTATAGTTTCCTTCACTCGTTGTCGCTATCTACTGTTGAACACTCGCTATATCATCTGTCACTCCACATTTGTGGTGTTGCACCAAGGCCAGTCACAATCAACTCACTGCACAATTTCGTGGGGCTACATTCTACTGGGATAATTGGCCACTGAAGGGACTATGACAGCACGAAATCTGGAGACTCCGCGGGATTCGTATGCGTCGCACGTATCCCCAAACGCGAATCTCCTGACGATCGGCTTAATCCCGTGCAGTGTAGCGAACTTCACTGCGTCCTCACAGTCCTTACCCGTACCATATGGCCATCCTCGGACACTTAATCTTCGAGCTAGCATGGGGACTGCATGAATCACAATCAGCTTGTGAGTGTAAGACTCGCCGTCTACACTCACCAATAGGAATTGGAAGCGAGTCCGCGATGAACGAGAGAACGAGGAGCTGGCCATCGCATGCGAGTCCGTCGACAAGGGTGGTCATGGCCCCGATGTCTGGTGCGGTACACAGGATGATTCGCGCACCCCCGAGCGCTTTGAGCGTTGCCACCTGTGCTTCTGCGGTCCCGCTGATAAACTCATGTGCTCCCAGTTCCAGTGCCGACTCTCGTTTGTCAGCTGAAGAGGAAAGCGCGATGGTGTGAAAGCCCATCTGGCGTGCTATCTGGATGGCGATGTGGCCCACGCCGCTGAAAGAGCGGACAGTGCTACTGGTTCAGCCTGCATCAAGAGACGGGAAGGATGGGCGTACCCAACACCCTGAATGGCGACAAGATCTGAAGGTGAGGCTTGCATGTTACGAAGGGCATCTATGGCGTTGCATCAGAGGCGGACTCAATATCAGAGTCAACAGGGTGGAACGCACTGAAAGACGTTACTCCTGCACATAAGAACGGAGCAGCCTCCGCGGGATCTATCTCCCTCGAGATGCTCGCTAACGCCTCTGAACGCAGAGTGACGTACTCTGCGTAACCGCCATCGCTCCCCACACCTAGGGGTAGATTGAAGGTCGTGATGAGGGTGCGGCAAAACCAAATATCGCCGGGACGTACCCGTAGGAGACAGTGCTGAAAGGGGGCAGGTCACAAAGTCGCCTAAACGGCAACGATCGCACGCGCTGCAATGACCGACATGCCAGCCTGCCCCGATCCTGTCGCCTAGTTTCCACTGCACCTCGCCCGGCGCAACAGCCACGACGTCGCCGATGATCTCGTGCCCTGGGATGCGCGGATACACGACGGTAGGGAAAAACTGATACCTCACTGCTTCATCGCTGAAACGGAATGTAGTAGTCAGGCTCATCAACGCATTGAGTTCGAGTGGCCTTGGCTAACCTGGCGCAAACACCGCACGCAAGCACTTTGACGACGACGTGGCCGGGCTGGGGATCCTTCCACGGAACGTCTATCGCACAAAGGGATCCTCCGCGCTCGAGAAAGGCGTATGCTCTGTAGGACTTGGGACACTGAAAAGCCATCTACTCAAACATAGCTCTGCGTCACCTATCATCCTTATAACCTTCTAAACCGCCTAAGTCCTTCGGACTTCTCTGTCTATTCCCGCCGGGTCTCGACTTGTTGCGACCTGTACTGTCCTATCACCGTCCCTCTTACTATCTGTTGAATTTTGGAATCCAAATACAGTAAACCCTTCGATAGATTGGGCATTGGACCCAGGAAGACTCTGCGGAGTTTCACTTCAGGTGGTTTCCTGGCGAGATTCCTCCGCGCCCGGGCACACGCATGTCGAGTGACAATATGGACGAGTGAGCCGGTGGAGATTGCCAGGTCAAGAGTGGGGAAGGGGAAGGGGTAGTGCTGATGAATCCTGGGCCAGACGAGTATTCGAATCGGGGATAGGCCGCTGTTCCATCCAAAAACGCCGATGGAGTATGCCGCGCAATATTTTTTCAATGTGAGATTATGTACAGCCCTGTTCATCTAAGTTCCCTCAGTCACTCAGGTTCCAAGACACAAGATGGATCTCATTATATGAATATAGACACACCAATGAAAGGCAGTACCGCGAAGTCTGATATCAATCGAGCCATCACCGGCAATCTGTTCCCTCTCTAGCTCTGAACTGACTGCGTTGCGATGACAGGTTCTTGATCCCGCTTAAGCGGATGTGTTCGGATAGTCACGTCAAGGTATTCTCCTCGCTCATTCTGCTACACAAATGCGTAACCTCAAGCGGCACATCCGTGACTTGCGGCAAGCTGTCTACCATCAGGAATCAGCAACATACGAATTCGAAGTGATGACGATTCGAATCGCACCAAAAGAACGCGAGGTTGCTATTGTAGCCCTCGTTTACGGCAAGAAGTATATCAAGCTGTTGCTGTTTCGACTCACAACCATGCTGCATGCTTCGCGGCATGTTCCGTTGCCTCTTCCGCAAATTACGAAAGCAGCAGCTCATTGTCTCCAAGGAAATAAGATGAGAACCAGCAACATTATACCTGTGATCATTGCTGGTGGATTGAGATTAAAATCAGAAATTCATGGTCATCAATTAAATGTGATAGCCTTGAACAGCTTCACAGGATCTTGAATGTGTGAGTTTTGATATTCTGACACTCATAAGAATATATTATTTGGCAACTGTGAGATGATGTGGCATGTGGAGATTGGGATATGTGGAGTAAGACAAGCTTACTCTGGGGATCATTGATCAGCCCAAGCTCCTGTGTGAGGATTTGACATACCTACAGGAACATTAATGTTGTTGAAATGCAACAATAACAGTGAATATTCTCACTAGCCACTTGCTAAAGAAGCATCTGTACTAGAATGTCCCCATGGCAAACCAAAACCCTGCCAAGTTGCCTAGTAGAACAGAAACATTTGTTCAGTTCTCCTTCATTCAAATCCCAGATCTTTGTCCCTATTCTGTTAGTAGTTATATAGCCAAAAAGTGCAAAAAGGTTTGATATGATTGGCAGGTACATCAGCAAAACAACACTTTTGCTTACTGATGCTTAGTCATCAGGAAAAGGTACACTTTGCTTTTACTCTTTTTTTGCTTTTTTGTGCATTTTACACTTGTTTTGTTTTGTGAAGTATTTTTAAAACAAATTTACTATCAGCAGCATAATCATTGTTATTATATGCTTTTTATGCTTTTTATGCTTTTTGTATTTTTTGAAAAGAAAAATTACTTCAGATAAAGAGACTTAGAATATTCTGTATTACATCACTTGTATATAGTACTGTTTTATTTTCTATACTGCCAGGATGTATTACTTACTCAGTGGTCTTCTGCTATCTTCTTTATGTTTTCAATGATAACTCAGGCTATTGTGCCATACCCTTACTCATCTCTCACACATATACCTCATATTACTCATATACTTATTTACCCTTCTCATTGACATATTCTGCTACATTGCATGTATATAGCACCATTTCTTTTTCTTTACTGCCAAGATGTATTACTTATTACTCAGCAACTTCTGTCACCTTTCTTAGTGTTTACTGCTGACTCATGCTATTGTACTAATTTTGCTTATGTATATATGCCCACATTGCTTATTTTCGTACTCAGCTTCTTGCTAATCATTCTTGCTTATACATTTCTGCTTATTTTTGCGTATCAAGCAGACTTGGCTGTATTTATACAAACCTCTGTACTAGGCTGGGTTCCCAGTCTTAATATTATATGTTTCACCACAAGTCTCTGGCTTAACATGCTAGTGTTAAATTATCATCTGATGCTTGTGTTAAGGGACCTGACAACTGAGGATCAGGAGTTCCGCTGAAGACTACTACTGACAAGAGGTACTGCTACGCGTAAGGCTGACACACTATACTAGAACTAGACTTTAGAGACTGAGCCAA